AATGGCTTAAGCTCTTAAGCCCAAGATTCAGATCCGTAGGCCAAATATGATTAGAATCCATAAAGTCTCAAACTTTATCACTTGGGACGTCCATAAGCTCTTAATCCAAGGTCTTAATCCATTAAGACCTATATATCTCACACATGGAACAACTACAACCCTTGGGACCTCATTTTTCTCACTCAAGACCTCTCCAAAGGTCTAAAAGGACAGATAATCTTGACTAATTCGATACATGCAACAAGGTGAGGACTTTTAGGACAAGAATGGTGACAAAGCTTCAAAATACATAGATCTACACAATATGAAGGTCAAGCAAGAAGCTTTATACCTCAAACAAGCTCCAAAGGATGGTATCTCTTCAGATCTACAAGCTCCAATCGTTCTTCTTCTTCTTTGACAACTTCTCTTTTCTCCTTCAAGCCTTTCTTTTGCCACAAAGAGCTTTCCAAGGTCAAACACACCCAATAATGGAGAGAATACGAGATCTAGGGTTTCTTTGAGGTTAAGGATAAGCATAAGGAGGCTAAGGGGTGAGCCAACATGTTCCTTATATATTGGCTGACCCTAAATTAGGGTTTGGGGTTTCTGAGAGTACGCTGGGAGTACCTCCATGGTATGCTGGGCGTACTCACTCGGCCACCCGCAACTTCTCGCCCCTTTACGATGGGCGTACGTCCAGCTTACGCTGGGCGTACCCAGCCAGACTTCAAAAATAATTGCATGCATGCATGACATGCATGCGTGGGACCATTTCCCTCTTATTCCACAAAGAGCTATAATAATGATTAACTTCAAAACACCGCAACTCCTCTAATCTAAACCCGCTCCCAAATAACTTATCATTCATACGAGAGTGACGAGAAACCCAATGCTTCTAACACATACACCAACCCGAAACCTTCTCGGATGAAACTCATTTCTCGTAAAAGGATCAAAATTACCCTTCCTCTTAAATCTCAGGGACTCATAATTAAACACTTAAAGAACGGGGTGTTACATTTATATTATGATATTTTATCTTTAATGTTTTTTAGTTCCCCCAAAAATAATGCTTGAGGAGTTACTAATACATCATTTACAGATTCATAGAGCTTGATATGATCGAACAAATTGGGTGGTATGTCGCAAACAGTTTCAGTGAAACTTATTTGATCATTTTCAATCTTTGAAAAGGCCCTCTGCAGTTAGATGTTCATGTTGTGGTGATGCTCCACCACCAAGAATGGTTATGGCAACATTAGATACAATTTTTCCAATAACTACATGGGGACCTTAAATTACAAAACACCATACATCATTTCCTTACATTTGACATACTTATCCATTATGGTCTTCTATTGCTCATATTCTTCTATAATAAGAATGGGTGATCTAGTCGAACAACCCAACCTATTGGAGACGTTTACAACATAGATAAATTGTAAGTTAGGATTTTCCATTTGTTTTTTAGAATATATATTGAGAAACAATTTAATACAAATTATACTTCTAAGTTTCCTAGAAATTCAAGAAACCAAGGTTTCTTACAACGATAATCCGATGAAGATAGATAGTAAACAACCAAATTGGGATCTAATATCAATTAATAAACACAAATAATGACTTAACCAATGATATATATATATATATATATATATATATATATATATATATATATATATATATATATATATATATATATATTATAAACAAGAATGATCAAAACTTAAAGTACATAAATAAAAAGACTATAATAGTGAAGAAAAGAACATAGTGTTCTTAGAAAGGTGTAAGGGAAGTCATAACCAGTTTTCACTTTTATAGATCCACCATGATGTCAATCTTATAAATACACGCTGACACAAGATCGAATAAGATACATTAGAATGGATAATAACAAAGCATATTTCTAATAAATATTTTTCATTACACAAAACACAAATAGAAAAAATACAAAGTCAACTTCTCCTGAAACGATCTTATGGGTCACCAATCTTCTTTGCAAATTGATCTTCAAAAGGCTTCACTTATTTAGAGGGATTCTCATGGGGAGGCCACTTTCGTGTTCCAACAGGTATCAATAAACAATTCCTAACTCTCTAAATCTCTCTATTTCTATAAACACCCTCTTGAGTTAACGCCCATCACTTGAGCGTTAGAGCATAATCATGGCCACACACCGAATTGTTAAGCATAGCCTACATGTGTGAATTGTGATAAATAAGTACCAAAGACTCAAGTTATTCCCATAACATGAGTTTTAGAGCATAATCATGGGTTACACCTCGAATTGTTGACCATAGTAAATTTTTCATAACACATTCTTCTAACTTTAGTGTTTGTCTTTGTTTCAGGTTCATGGATCTATTATTTGGAACCTAGATTTTCTTGGGTTTACTCTTATTCTTATTGAACTTCTTGGATCTTGTCTTGTAATACGAAGTTTCAGTCCATAAAGATATATAAGGCTTTCCGAAGTGGTTCTCACATCTCCTATGTACCCATGATTTTCAATTTGTGTACACTTTGTCTTCATTACTCACCGATTTTCTATATGTCTTCATCCCATCGAAAGAACCACTTGATCTGGATGAAATATCAGGAAGAGTTCTCTTTGATGCATCACTAATATGAAGAACCTTAATAGTATCTTCTTTCTTTTTAGGTATGATATCATGAACCTTGATGTAAGGATCTTCAACAACATCCATAGAACATGGATCATTAGCAACATCTTTCTCTATTTTTTTGGGATTTTTCAACCATTTTTACTTGGGCAACTTCATCTATATCTGGAGAAACATTAACATTTTCTTCTTCTTTTTTATGTTTCTTTTTCATTCATTCTTCTTTATCCTTAACTATCAGATAAATTATATTCAACTAAATTATCATAAATGTATCACTCATAATAGATGCCACTTCTGTTCAAATATATCTTATACATATGGTTCCTTATTAATTAAACCATTCTTGATGAGATGATATATTTTATTAGCATCAGAATAAAAGTTTTGAGAAAGAGCAAGTGAAGCAGAAAAACATAAATCCAACATATTATCTTCAATAAAAACGGATTTAGATGAGAATGAATGTAGATCTGATGTGAGAAAAAAATTAGTCTAGTAAAAAGTATTCAAAAATTCTTAAAAAACCTTTCAAATCTAGAATGTATCTTCACAAATCTTTCAAATATGATGTAGATGTATCAATTTTCGAGTATAGATCACAAAATAACTAGAAAACTTACACCATATTCATGAGAAAGATTTAAATACGAAAATATGTCATCTCTGATTTTTGAAACTTAAAAGAACAGATGATTGTTCAAGATCAAGCTATGATACCGATTATAGGAACCCATATTCACACAAGATGACATGACAATGCGGAAATTAAGAACAATCTATAAATCAATCTCAGATAAACAAGGAATTAGTGAAATATTTTTGCATTCATGTGATCATCAAATCAGATTACAGTAGAGAACCTCACACGAAAAAGATGAACTCTCAGTTTCTCTATCTATGATAAAAATGAAAATTCTAAGTAAAAGGAGGTTCTAACTAAAATAGAAAATGACCTAAAGTATTTATAGTCCTAAGTTTAAAATCTAAAAAACCCTAAAAATACTAGGTCAAAATAAAAAATTCATCTGTCAAACATTTCAATATCCAACAAATTCTTGCTATACACTCGTTCATCAATTACCATGTTTTATGCACAAGATTAAATGTATATCTGTGTAGTTATATTTCTTTTTTATTTTTTATAATTTATGTGAAAAAATAATCTTTGATACAAACTAGGAAGAAATCAACTTTATTGCATAGATTGGTAAAAAATTAATAAATATATATATATATATATATATATATATATATATATATATATATATATATATATATATAATATATATATATAAAAAGAATATATACTAAAGTTCCAATATTTTTAACGATTTGATAAGAAAGTCCTAAACTTTTTTTTTACAATAAAGTCCTAACTACCGATAGTTTTTGACATGCTTATTTTTTGCCGGTTAGTCGGTAATTAGGACTTTATATAAAAAAAAAGTTTATGACTTTCTTATTGAATCGTGAATTAGGACTTTACTGTAAAAAAAATAAAATCTGAAACATTTTTGTCAAATCAACTAAAATATTGAGACCTTAGTGTATGTATCCTTCTTTTTGTTAGAAATTTATTAGTATGATAAGAGTTATTGGAATATGTTCCGGTCAGCTAAATCCTATTGAAATCTTTTACATTTGCTTCTTATTAAATAGTTTTTTTTTTTAATTCCAACAAACTGACATTGAAAAAAATTGGAATAATCAAGAAAGAAAGAAAGAACCAATGTTGTGTTAGCTTTTTGCAATCCTAATAATAGAGAACTAAAAAACTGGAAAAAAAAAAAAAAAAAAAACCCTTCTTACACCATTCTCCACATTCATACCCTTTTGACTAGGCGTGTGTTGCTTGTATTTGTACAATCTGTCTCCTCTTTTCTGTTCAAGATTTAGCGGCAAACCAAGAAAAAAGCTTTACAATTCTTCTCACCCTCTCCCGCTCTCTCTTTTGCATCTGTTTCCCTGATTGTGATTGTATCAGGATAAAAATGATGATGGTAATAAAAAACAGTGGTGTTGCAATGAACATCACAATTAAAAGTTCTTGGGTTACGAATTGGGTCTCACGAGGATGATAAAATTATTTGTTTATAAGGAAATCAAGATTATACACTAAAGTCTCAATATTTTCAATGATTTGATAAGAAAGTCTTAAATTTTATTTTTAAAAAGTAAAATCCTAATTAATGGCTAACCGGCAAAAAATAATAAACATGTCAAAACTATCGGTAGATTGGACTTTACTGTATAAAAAAAAGAGTTTTAAGATTTCTTATCAAATCTTTGAAAAATTATAGTTTTGAAAAGTTAAATGAGCTATTATGTATTTTTGAATTGTTGAAGGTATAATTCTGTACTTTTCAAAAGTTGCTTTGTTTTGTCATACTCATCTATTTTGTGACAAGTACTGAGTCGGGAGTTAAAAACCCTGTACGAACGTCGTGTATCGCTCTCTCCCAACCTCCTGCACTCATCCCTCACCTATTTTTCCCATAACACTTCACCCTCGCAGCTCGGAAGATGAACCTGAAACAAAAATCGAGGCAGAGAGCAGCATGATGAATTCGGAATTCTGAATTCGAAGTTATAGGTACGTATGCTAACATCGGTCCCCCGTTTTTGCATAATTTCCCGATTTTGAACATAGTAAGCATATAAAAGGTACTTGGGCATATGACAACTTTTGGACATTTTCTCCGTTTTGGTCAATTTTTAGGATGTATATTTAATTGCAATTGAATATCGTGTTATTCTCCATCAATGCCTTCTATTTAATACACATATGCTATGCATCGACTCATTCATCATTTCTTCATATGAATGCTTATTTTCCCACTCAAATTGAAGATCGGTTTAGTGATCAGGTGGTTGTTTTACCACATGTGGAAATTGTTTTTGGAATTTTATTCAATTAAACTTCCTTCTTGGAGGTGTTCAACAGTTCAAGGTATAAAGGGGCACTGCATAAAGGGGGACGAAAAAAAATAATTCTTTTTAGGGCCCATACTCTGGGAATTTCCTTTAGTTTCTTCACTTTAAACATTTTCTGCGTGTAATTGTAAAACCCTAAACCTAAGTAGAGTAGTGCATCCCCATCGAAAAAGAGTCTACTTAGCTTTTGAAAGTTCAGCCTAATAATCTGATTGATATAAACCCTATAATATATCTTTGTTAACTTTATTTGTATGAACTGAAATAGCTTTTGTTAATTTTGATGTAGAAATGCCCTTGAGATTTGATAGTCAAAGAAAGACTATGCTGTGATGAAGTTTGATGCTACCATGGTGCATTTGTTATGAGCAATGTGTTAAGTTTTAGTTGAGTGTGTTAATTATTGAGCTCTATATCTTCATTTTTGTGCCAATATGGAAAATCGAGAGGCAAATGGATCATGCTTTTGGTTGGAGGAGCCTAATTATCATGAGCAAACACCAATCCCCATAAAGCATAAAAGAAAAGTAAAGGCAAAAACAGAGTTTGTTGGATGGGGTTCCAAATCTTTAATTGAGTTTCTCCAATCAATTGGCAAAGACACTGATGAACAGCTCTCTGAGAGAGATGTGAATGCCATTATAATTGAATATGTGCACACATTAAATCTTTTCCACCAAACAAAAAAGAAAAAAGTTGTATGTGATGAAAGGCTTCGATCTCTTTTTGGAAAGAAATCAATACCTCGAATCAAAATCCAAGATTTGCTAAAATCCCATTTTGCTGATAATCATCAATCCTCTGAAGATGATTATTTGTATAGTTCAGATGAATATGAAGATTCCAATATAACATACAAGAAACAGAAGGTGTCAGATTCAGAGAAGAAACCTCAAGCTTCCTCTCAAAAGAAAAAAACACCCATGAGCTCTTTTGCAGCTATTATCCCCGAAAACATAAAGCTTTTATATTTAAAAAAGAGTTTAATTCAAGAGCTCATTAAACACCCCGAGAGTTTTGAAGAAAAACTATTGGGTAGTTACATAAGGATAAAATGTGACCCAAATGATTACTCTCAAAAAAACTCCCATCAACTTCTTCCCATTACAGGGGTAAAATTGGTAACTGGAAATACTGATGAACAACAAGACATTCTCCTTCAAGTTCCAAACATGGTGAAAGACATAACTATAAACATGTTGTCTGATCATGACTTTTCTAAGGTAGTTAACATTTATTAATTCTTACATGATTCAGTTTCATCTTCATTATTTAATTATTTCATCTTTTTCAGGAAGAATGTGATGATTTATGTCAAAAAGTTAAGGATGGGTTGCTAAAGAGACCCACTGTTGTAAGTTTTTGTTTTTCTTCTCTGTAAATTATTATTATTAATTACTTTTTAATCCGAGTTTATTGGCTTTCTTTATAGGTGGAAGTTGAGAAGAAGGCACATCTTTTGCATGAGGATATAATAAAACATGTAAGTAATACTCACTTGTTATGAAAAATACAAGAAATAGCATCACATTTATAAAATTTACCATTTTATAGTAATTAAATGACATTGCTATAATTAATTTACAGTGGCTTCCTAGAGAACTAAGCTATTTACAAAACCTCATAGATCGTGCAAATGAGAAGGGGTGGCGTAGGGAATATCCTTTTTTTATGATGTGCAAAAATGTCATTTTACATGATTGAATTTGAGGTTCCTGTTTATATTTATTATTGAATAAAATAATTTAGATACTTGGGAAACCTTTACTTGCTTCAGCTCTTACATTGTATGAGTATTTAGAAAGAAGGAATCTGCTTCAAAAACCTTCTGAACGGTCAAAGTTGTTGACCGAGGTCCCAAAGGTGACTCCAGATGTACTAGATCCACAAGATATACAAGACTTATGTAGTCCAGATGCTGCAGGTATGTATTTTCAGAAGGGTAAATCCGTCATTTACTCATTCACTCCAAAAGGAAAGTATTTGTTTCTACAACACTTACTCTACACAAACATCATGTATTGTATCCATACAACACTTAAAAAAGAAGGGTAAAACCGTCATTGTCATTTTCTTCCATTTCTTAAAGTGTGCTGTTGTTTCTCAAATTATACAAAAGGGTAAAATGGTCATTTACTTGCATTCAGTCCACAAAAGAAACAAACCCTTAATCTGGTAATTTTTTCAAGGTACAATGTTGTAGTAAAAACGAAAGTACATTGCTATTTATTGCATTCACCTGTTTTTTAAGGGTTAATCTCATATAAGACCTTATATTTTGTGTTTTTGCGGATTTAACCTCGACTTTATTTTTTTTTCCAGAAAAAGACCTTGTATTTTTTCATTTTTTTTCGATTTGATCCTTTTAGTCATTTTTTTTTCCGAAATAACTTGTAAATTGTGAGGGTGTTTTCGGAAAAAACTAAAAAAGTTGAGGGTTTTTTCAGAAACACTTAGAAGGTTGAGGGGTTTATTCGGAAAAATGAAAAAAATACGAGGTCTTTTTCAGGAAAAAAAAATAAAGTTGAGGTTTAATCCGGAAAAAAAATACAAAATATAAGGGCTTTTATGATATTAACCCTTTTTTTAATCATCATTTATCCAACCATTTGTACAGACGCAGAACAAGTGGTGGATCTTGTTGAAGCTAATGAAGGCAATCAACAGCCAGTGGAGAACGGGGGTATTAAAGTAATTTCACATGTAAATTCAGGAGAAAAAGTAACCACAGGAGGTTTCGAGTGGGTTGAATCCGTGAAGATTTGTGACATCAAAAGTCCAAGTGACACATTGGTGGAATCAAACAACAATGTGACAAATGTGATTGAGCTAAGTGATGATGAAGATGATGATAATAATAATATTAAGACACAAGGAAATATAATAAAAGAGGAAAATGTGTGTGATGTATCTCTTCAACAATGGTTTTATTTGGATCCACAAGGAAAAATCCAAGGCCCTGTTTCAAGAATCGAGTTGAAATGCTGGAGTGATGCGGGCTACTTCCAGCCTGATTTTAAGGTGTGGAAAGACGGTCAGGTGCCCGAGAGTGCTGTCTTGTTGACCGAAATGCTTTCGGGCAGTTTTTAGTAATTGAGTTCGGGCAGTTGTAGTGATTGATAGGAATGGTTTTGTATTTAGAGATTGTACTTAATACCTGAGGGTACATTGCCATTTTGTCATCTTTTTGTGGGTGAGTTTTTTATTTTTTTTTATTTTTAGGTTTAAAATGTTTTATCATTTTTAATCATAGTTTGCTCTAATTATCATCTCTAATCCCCGTGCCTTGCTCGCAAATATAGTTATTTAATTAAAATAATAACTTTTAACAAATTGTGATTTAATATTTATACATGAAAACCAATGTGAGCACCAAAACAAAAAACCCATAGTTAACCTATTAGTTTTATTAACTATAATAAATTTAAATCATTGGTCATTTATAGATTGCATGTAAAACGTACGTTGATTGCATGTAAAACGTACGTTGATTTTTATATATAATAAATGCAAAGTAGTATGAAAAAAATAAATACTACAACTTTTGATGATTTTATAAATAGCTTTAGGTTGTGTAAATTATATATTGAACGTAAGTTGATTTGTATATAAAACAAATAACAAATAGTATTGAAAAATACTGCAACATGTATTATAATATTTACATCAAATGAAATTTATTAAATAGTTATACATAATAATTCAAAATGAATATTTATAAGTTGACATACCTTGATATATAAAAACATTATTATAAACAAATCACATTGAAATAACCATTGATGATTTTATAGAAAAAATAAATACTACATTATAGACCACTTTAAATTGTGTAGATTATATATAATACATAAGTTGATTTGTATATAAAACAAATAACAAATAATATTAAAAAATACTACAACTTTAATAACATAAAAACACTACAACATCTACTATAACATTTACATCAAATGAAATTTATTTAACACTTATGAATCATTCAAAATTAATATTTATAAATCGATATACCTTGATATATAAAAACATTGTTACAAAAAACTGTGTTGAAATAACCATTGATGCGGTATAACTCAATTTTTTTCTAAAAAAAAAAATTGTTCATATTTGAATCACAAACTTTTTCAAACATATAATTTCATTTATCAAAACTTACTTATATACTACTAATATAGTTATAATGTTTGCAAATAAGTGAAAAACAAAAAGGCATTCCATATTAATAACCATAAGTTTTAAAAAAAAAAAAAAATCTTGAATGTAATGGAAAATAGAAAGGCATGATTAATTACGTTAAATTTGAAATCATACCTACATTAAAAATAGAACACTCTTGAGATGTAATGAGGGTTTCGAACTCTTGAGTGATGCGCAATAATGTAATATGAGTACTGACAATTAGATGTTATAATAATAATATTATCGGCATTTATCATTGCAATAATGATTTTTATACTAAGTTGCAGATAATACTATAATTTTTAAGTATACGATAAGATAGATATAATATGTTGTGTTTGAATTGAATTAAATAAAGTTTTTAATTTAACATTTTTTTAATTATAAGTATTTTTAATTAATTTAGAAATAATTCATTTGAATATTTTTTATTTCATGAATTTTATTATATTATTTCAAATAACACTATTTTTAATATAATATAATTTTTATTTAGTTTTATGTTATTTTAAGCTATTATTATTTTTACTTGATTAAAAACTACATGTTTGAAAAAATTTCATTATTATATTTAAAAAAATATCTACTTTAGTATTGTATTTTTATTTTTGATTTTAAATCTTTGAAATATTGGAAAAGAATGAATGGTCAAAGTAAAACGGTGATTTGAATTTCAAAGTTATAGTCTCGGCGGAAATGCCCGATCCTCCCACACCCATAACAGGTGTGGCTAGGCCCTGCATTGTGGCCGCCATTAGTGATGTTGTTGTTGTTTCGATTGTTGTTGTTGTTGCTGTTTCCCTGTTGTTGGTTCTGGGGATGGTAGGTCTTGCAGTACTTCGCCGTGTGTCCCCTTCGGTTACAACTGGTGCACTGCAACTCCGTGCATTCTCCATTGTGATGGAAACCGCACTTGTTGCACTTGGGAAGATTAACGGAATAAGGTCTGGGAGCATTTGAAGCAGCTGAGGCTGGAGCATGTGGTGTGGCTGGAACCGGTGCGGTGACAGCATTAACTGCCACTGTCTGCTGCTTTTTAGAGGTCTCGGGGCCCTGACGCCCCTTCCTCTTGTTGTTCTTCCCTTTCTTGCCATCACCTTCCTTCTTTCCTTCAGCCTCCGCTGGCTTCTCACCCTTCTTGTTGTTATGGTCATAAAGCTTCTTCGCCAATCTTTTAGCACTGTCAAATGTTTCGGGGTTTGCAGCTATCACATTTCCTTGTATTGGTGATGTTAGTCCCCAGATGAATCGCTCAATCTTCTTTCCTTCCGAGGTGATCATACCCAGGCACAACAGAGATAGTTCACTAAATCTCGATATTCGCATTCTGCACAGTGAGGTTCCACAACTCCTGCTCCATTTTCTGAATCTCACCTCGTGGGCAGTATTCAACCATCAACATTTCTTTCATCTCCGCCCACGGCATGGAGTTGGCTACAGGGAGTGTCATGGCTTCCACATGTCCGTTCCACCAGGTGAGCGCTTGATCGACAAAAGTGCAGGCCGCGAACTTCACTTTCATCTGCTCAGGACAATCGCATATCTCGAATACCGATTCCACCTTCTCGATCCATCGCTTCAGAGTGATCACTCCTCCAGTGTCGTTAAAAGTTCGTGGTTTGGCATTTGTAAAGTCCTTGTAGGTACATGTTTTGGTGGGTCCTTGATTCATCCCGTTGTTCGAACTCCCGCCCCCGTGCCCGTTGTCTCCTCCGTTATTCCCTTGGTGAAGTTGTGTCATAGCTGCGGTGACCGCAGCAGACACGGCCGCCTGGAATGCAGTGGAGTCAACTTCGGGTGGGGTTGGTCCAGGGTTTCCACGAGTAGGTCGGCGAGGCATCTTTCTGTCATGAAACGGAAAGATGTTAAGTGTTTGGGGTTTCTGGGAGGTTGTGACCCTACTGACTAGGTGCAAGGTACGAACTTAAACACTCCTACCATTTAACATACAATCATAGATTCTCAACACATAGCAATTTGTAATATCATAACAAGGCATGTAAAAGTTTACTAATATTATCCGCATTTGATATATGAAAAATTTGCTCGTAAGAGCATACATGAGTGACACTAGTTCGACAGCATAACGGCTCTATGAGTAGTGTAGTCACTTAAACATAGAGTCGGGGGTACATAGCATAGTTCCTAATGACCTACTAAGATAAGTCTATCCCTAACCGCGATGATTTGCGTCCTACGTAGTGGCTGGGTCATATACTGAAATGTTGCGCCAGTAACTGAGCCATCTCCGTCATGTCTCCAATAACCTCATCCCTCTCATGCTCAGCTCATACTGCCCGAGCCTCCATAGCATACAACTGTTGTCGCAGTGCGGCGATCTCAGCTTCGGGGGAATGGTTCTCCCTTGGGGGGTTCATTGGTGGGGCGGAGTGGTCTGGTTGCGCCTCGTTCTCACACGACGGGATGTGATCCGTGTCCCGGTCTTGCCCTTCCTCGGCGTCATCATTGGTCTTGATAGCTTCATTTTATTTACTTATTTTTATAGTTTATTTTAGTACATTTCATTCGCATTTTAGTTAACTTTCATGCATATTTTCCCTTTTGTTATTTTTATGACCATTTCGGGGTACTTTCTAGTTTCTTGAGCATTATTGCAGATTTTCTTGGAAACTAGCGGGGCGGCACTCTTGCGAGGCGATTGGGCTTGAAGGGAATTGGAGATTTCATGCTTGATGGCTATGAAGGTGATTCATGGGGTGGACTTGTCAATTGCTTGAAGGCTTGGAAGAATTGAGCTTTAAATTTGAAAGATGCGGGGGAACATTCAAGCGTATGAAAATTATTAATCGGGCGAGTTCACGAGCTTTGGAGGATTTAGAGAGGTCAAATTGGGCTTTAAATGAAGAAAAACTTGAAGAAAATGGGCTAGGAGGTGATTGGATTCGATCTGGGCTAGTGGGATATGCTTTAGAGGCCCAAAATCTCAAAGGAGCCCATGTCAGGTACCACCCGCGCAACCCACCCGCGCAGCAGCACGCGGGTCGCGCAAGGCCCTGCAGGGGCAATTTCGGAAATCCTTCTTTTGAGCTATTTGAGGAAGGTTGGTGCCCATCTTTTGCATACTCTTGAACCCCCGATTTTTGAAGATTCTCTCTGGAGTTTTGGGGACTTTTGAAGGCCAAGAACCCTTGAAGAACATCATATTTTTACCTCTTGATTCTTGCTTAATGTTTGGTACAAATTTCTCTAACTTTGTTTCTTTGTGTTTAGCCATGCTTGGCTAAACTAATCTTGGTTGACTTTTGTTTAATCCTTTGAACTTTTGTTGAATGTTGAAGAATCCATGAACATGTTCTTGAATCTTTATGGAAATGTTTTGTGTTTTAACATCTTATCATTACTTGTATGTTTTAGTTCATGAGTTTAAATGTGTTTGTGGTGATTAGTTGGCTAATTTCTTGATTAAGTAAAGGATCCTCAAATTAGCAAGCAACAAATGATTTTTGTGTTGTTTTTGCTTCACACAATCATAAAAACATTTCCTCCAACATGGTGGTGAAAGCATTTGACCCCTCTTGGATTTGGTGACTTTTTGGTTCTTAATGCTAGTTGACTTTCACTAATTACATGCTATTTGGAATTAGTGACTTTGACTAAGGAAATTGTTATGAGCTTCTCTAGCCATTTCAACAATTAAGAAAAGTCTAGGTAATCTCAAGCTCCTTGGATTACTATAGCCAAATTGAGGATTTAAAACAAGTATTGCACCATTGAATTCTAATGATATGTTCATCAAAAGTCAAAGTGAGAAAACTTTAAGTCAACCATCTTTCCCTTATTGATTTTACATCAAATTCTTATTTTTGTTGCAATTGTCTATTTAAATCATAGTTAATTCTAGTTGTTCAAGTATTCAAAACACCAAAACCCCCATTTTATTTTTATTGTTATTTTACAAGTATTTTTACAAAGAGATTTTTCATAGAGTTAGAAATTGAACCAATCTCCGTGGATTCGATCCCTTTACCACTATACACTATTTTAGTGTGTAACATTTAGGGTTATTATTTGTGTTGGCCTCGACAACCACCAAATTTTTGGCGCCGTTGCCGGGGATTGGTTTATTTTTAATCAAT